ATGTATTTGTTCATTTTTTTTAATTGTATCCTTTGGTATATATGGTTGTGACTATTTTCTTCCATTATTTGATCTGAGGAAGTGGGTCTGGCCCACGAAAGCTCATCATCTAATAAACCATCTTGTTAGTCTTTAAAGTGCTACATAGTCCTGTATTTTGTTTCAGCTACACCAGACCAACACGGCTACATCTCTATCACTATTATTTGTTCATTTTTTTTAATTGTATCCTTTGGTATATATGGTTGTGACTATTTTCTTCCATTATTTGATCTGAGGAAGTGGGTCTGGCCCACGAAAGCTCATCATCTAATAAACCATCTTGTTAGTCTTTAAAGTGCTACATAGTCCTGTATTTTGTTTCAGCTACACCAGACCAACACGGCTACATCTCTATCACTATTTTATTTTCCCAGAATTTGTTATTAATCCCAATGGGAAGTCTGAAGTCTGCATACTGCATGAATATATGCAACGAGTCCTAAAGGTCCGCCCTGTTTACAATTTCTTTGAATGTGGTAAGTTTGCATGAATTCTAACTTCAACACAATAATTTTGTTTACTTATTTGAATGCTTTGGAGATTCTGAAAAGCAGCAAGAAATGGAGACTTTCCTAGTAAGCATCTTACTCATAGACTCATAGACTTTAAGGTCAGAAGGGACCATTATGATCATCTAGTCTGACCCCCTGCACAGCGCAGGCCACAAAATCTCACCCACCCCTCCTAGAATAATCCTCTCACCTATATCTCAGATATTGAAGCCCTCAAATACTTTGAAGACCCATCTGTACCCCATGCTACAGAGGAAGGCGAAAAACCTTCAGGGCCTCTGCCAATCTACCCTGGAGGAAAATTCCTTCCCGACCCCAAATATGGCGATCAGCTAAACCCTGAGCATGTGGGCAAGACTCCTCAGCCAGACACCCAGAAAGTTCTCTATAGTAACTCCTATCATCCCTCCATTGACCTATTTCCCACTGATAATGAATGGTCAATTAGTTACCAAGATCATGTTATCTCATCAAACCATCCCCTTCATAAACCCATCTAGTTTAATCTTGAAACCAGATAGATCTTTTGCCCCCACTACTTCCCTTGGAAGGCCGTTCCAGAACTTCACTCTTCTAATGGTTAGAAACCTTCATCTAATCTCAAGTCTAAACTTCCTACTAGCCAGCTTATATCCATTTGTTCTTGTGTCCACATTGAGAGTATACTGTGGGCCAAATTCTAGTTTTTACAACAAAAGTAACGTAATCTTCTGTATCCTTTACCCCTCCCTTACCTGGGTGTGTGCGTGTGCACTACAGAAGCAGTGTTACTATATACCTCTGAGCTGGAAACATAGTCTGAAATGAAAACTGATGTAGGTAGTTTATCTGCCACATGAGAGACTCCAAGTTGGACAAAGATCCAGGGGAGCAACTATCCTTAGTATCCATCCTTAGGGTTGTGGTTGAATGAGTTAAATTACATTATATAACAAAGGCAACCTAAAAGTGACACAATTAGCAGATCACACTTTTTTACCTCTTCTGTGGCTATTTGCTAGGTTTTCATTGCTTCGTCCAGCCACACTCTAATCACCCTTACCCAAAGGTATACGTAGCTTCCTTGCCTCCGCTTTACTCCATCTCATCACATGTATTATTGGAGAGGGAATTCCATGTGGTGTCCTGAGTGCTTTGCTGTCCCTCATCGAGGCAGACAAGCAAGCAGGGAAACCTGAGAATTGTCTGTCCGGGGTGGGGGGTCGGGTCCCTTTAAGCACAGACCTCAGATAGCCTCAGGCAGCAGCCCCACACATTAAGTCCTGACCTGATGCCCTGCTGGAACTGGTTCCGGCCAGCCTTAACTCCGATTCAGAGTCCATTCAGTGTAGATGCGCTATTTCGAAATAGCAAAATGCTATTTCAAAATGAATTTTCTGTATAGACTCCAAAACATTATATGGAATGTAGAACCTGAATATTGACAGAAATTTCAAATAAAGTGTTCACAGTATACTACAGTCACAGTATTTTAATTCTGAACACGTACATATGATAGTGATGATTTCATGGTTGAGATTTCCCTTCTGAGGAAAGATTCATATGTTTATATATAAAACAACTGAGCAGTAATTTTTATAGAACAGTTATTTTCCAGATCTCGTGAGGGTCAAATGAAGGAGAAAACAAATCTCCAAGTATGGGGCAGTCACATATTCTTGATTATTTTATTTTTAGTGTGTGTGTGTTTTTAAAGTGTTTATTTTTGAAAGATTGGAATTTTGAAAAGCTTTTCTCTCCCCTATTTTAAGAGAACCCAAGTGAGCCTTTTGGAGCTTTGGTGATTATTGATGGAGTGACTTATGGGGCAGGAACTGCAAGCAGCAAAAAACTCGCCAAGAATAAAGCTGGTAACATACATACTTCCATTGAATTGCTATGATTGTCTGGTTGTACCTCTGTCTTGTAGATGATTGGTTAACAGCAATGAATAGCATTAAATTAAGCTTTTTCAGTACTCAATACTCAAATGACAGATATATTTGTGTACATTTTTGTTGAAAAGACCAGCTTGGCTTAACAAG